ATAGGTGCTTGAGTGTATCTCTATGTATAACATTTTTTGTTCTGAAAATACTACATTATATACACACAACTTGTTATGATCAACTGGTGTCACATTGTTACCAGTTCAAGCAAACTGTACAAAACTTACCTCCCTGTACCTTCTTTGCCCCCCATTTGTCATATAATGATCTTCAATATTTATATAATACAGGGAGAACCATGTCACAGAAGTTGACAATGTATGTTGTCAAACAAAGAGGAAAAGAGAAACCTTTTGTATTTATCCATATTTTTCCCTTTTTTGATGTCCTTTCCTTATTCCTCATGTTCTAAAATTTCTTCTTTTATTATTTTATTTCTGTTTAGAGTATTCCCTTTAGCCATTCTTACAGGGTGGGTCTGTCATCAACAGATTCTCAAAACTTTACTTCCTATAAGAATGCCTTTAATTTTCCCTTCATTGTTGGAATTTTTTTTTCTGATTTCAGCATTCTAGGCTGATAGTTCTTTTCTTTCAACCTTCAAGAATGAGTGTGCCATTTTCTTCTAGTGTCTATGCTTTCTGAAGAGAACTCTGCTGCCATTCAAATATATATATATATATATATATATATATATATTTTTTAGTGTCATTTCCCTATGTTTCTCTCTCACTGCCTCTGACATTTTTGACGTGCCTTTGTTTTTCAGAAGGTTGGTGGTAATTTGTCTTGGTGTGGATATTTTTGAGTTTATCTGTCTGGGCTTTGCTCAGTTTCTTGTACTTGTAAGCTTATGTCTTTTGCCAAATTTAAGAAGTTTTCAACCATTACTTTGAATATATTTTCAGATTTTCTTCTTTTTGAGACTCTGATGGAATGAATGTTAGATCTTTTGTTATAGTGCACAGGGTCTTAGTGTCCTGCTCGTTGGTTTAGTCTATTTTCACTAATGTACAGATTGAGTAATTTCTATTGTTTTATTTTCAAGTCCACCAAATCCTTCCCCTGTCTCTTCGATTCTGCTGTTAAGTCCATCTGCTGAATTTTTTGTTCATTTATTTATTTTTATTTTTCAGTTTTCAACTTTCCATCTGATTCTCCTTTGTGCCTTATATTTCTTTGCAAGACTTTCTATTTCTTTGCCATATTTTACATTTCTGTTATTGTACACTTCACACTTCTAAAATTTAATTTGATTTTTTTATATTTTGTTTATATGTCATATATACATATATATGTGTGTGTATATATATATAACATAATAAATATATAATATAATATAATATAATATGATATAATATAATATAATATATATATCTGTGATTTTCTATTTCTTTACTGAGGCATTATATTTATTTTCATGTATATCCATCATTCTCGGTGGAGCACTTGTGTGATGTCTGCTTTAAAATCCTCACTGGATGATTCTCTGTCATGTTGGTGTTTGTATCTATTGGTTGTCCTGATTCTTGGTGTGATGAATAATTTTATATTGAAACCTTGACATTTTGAATATTATGCTATAAGACTAAGATTTTATTTGAATCTTCTGTTTAAACTGGTCTCCTCTGGCACAACCCAGATAGGAGAAGAAGGGGCTTTGTACAGCCAAGTGGGGGTGAAAGTCTCGGTACCCCATTTAGCCACATTGACACCTTGCGTGAGAGGGCCCCTTGTTACTGCTGGGCAGTGGGGAGAGTTTCAGGTCCCCTCTAGGCCTTCACTAATATCACTCTCGGTCACAGGGGCAAGAGGGCCCTTCTGCTGCCCTCCACTGGCATTGGTGGGGTTAGTCTTGTTACTAACAGTTGTGCTTGGAAGTCCAGGTTCCCCCATGGCCTCCAGTGGTATTGATGGGTAAGGGACCTCACTACTGGGCACTAGGAATGAAAGCTCTGGCTCCCTATTCTACCCACTCTGATGCCTCAGCTTGGGAGAAAGGAAGGGATTGTGGGCACCTTGTTACAGTCTAGTGGGAGTAGAAGTCTAGGCTCCCTGCTTCTCTTGGTGGGATGGGTGTGGGCCCACTGGTTTTTCGGTGGTGTTTGGCTCGAGTCAGGCTACTATGGTTTAAACTGGTCTTTCTTGCTAGACTGCCTCTTCCCTTACCATCTGGCTAGAGAGAACTAGCTCTTGGGGCTCTTTTTCTCCACACCTGTTAGTATTTCCACATTGTCAGCTTGTCTAGCTCCAAGTCAGGGATGTAAGGGGCAAAGACAAAAGACAGGGAGTGATCACTGTATCACAGTGGTGATCACTGTATTGTCCATTAGTCCTGAGACCTCATCTTGTCAACTTCCTTCCCTCCATATTTCATCCACATTTCAGACTCTTCTTATGTTTGTTTTAAAATATCCAGGATAATTTATGAGGAGGAAAAAAGAGAAGTCTTCTCTGTCTATACAGAAGGAGAAATCCCTCAATATGTAATTTGATTTTCTACTTTATTACAATACTTACATTTTATTTGGAAAATAAGTGAGAGACATGAAGTTTTTTAGGTCTTTGCATATATAAATTAAATATATATATGTGTATAATATCATATATGTATAAAATGTAATTTAACAATATATTATACGCTTATTTTATGTTACATATCTCAGTGACAAAAGAAACCACGTTTGTTTGAAATCAGTAAAATCACTAACGTGATAATTATGGTGTAATTAGTATAGAAAATCTTTGAAAAAGAACTCAAATAAAAAGTAATTCCCCCAAAGATGGTCCAAAACATAGATTTTTCTACATACATACTTGCTATATGTTCAGTGTGGCAACTGTTTATTGTAGGTCTCAGCACACTGTAGACATTCTATAGAATAATATAGAATGAGCAAACGATGTGGGCCTGATTCACAATAGGCCTAGAAACATTATTAAGGGTAAAAAGAATTTAAGAATGTGAAGATTAGTAATTAAAAGAAGAAAATCTCAAAGAGATGAAGCCATCAAAGCAGTCATTCGGTGGAAATGAAGATGAGCTTTTAGAAATGATATATCACATTTTGTTGGATGCTGAGGAGTTGGAAATCCATTTTAGATATGAGAATTTGGCTACCTGAACAAAGTCTTGGAAAAACACTTAGTCCGGTGTGTTTGGAGGATCACAACCAGGACAGCCTGACAACTTGGCTGTGGTAGGAAAGGTCCAGGTCCATCAGTGACCAGAGCAGACCCCGCAGTGGAGGCAAGACAGGCCCTCGTTAGGGGAAGACCGACCCTGTAGTTCACTCATGGACTCCTGCCAACAGGACCCTGGAGAGAACATCCCATCCATCAATACCATATTGCCATTAATAAGCAAGAAAGAGTCATTGCAAGTTCCTGCATTTGGAAGAAGCACGATAAAAATGATGCCTCAGAGAAGTTACTAGCCGTGCCAGTCTGAATGGTTTTGCTGTAGTTATAACCCAGGTGTGAACCAACAAATCGCAATGTCCGCCCTCCTGCAACACCATGTCTCGGTCTTCTTTCGTGTCCAGGGTAGCGCGGTGGAATTAACATTTGTTGATTGCCTTTACTTTGCAAGGCACTCTGCTAGATAGCATCTGTGTGCTTTCTGATTCAGTATTCACAACACCTCGTGAGGTGTTATTATTGACATTCTGTGAGACTGAGGGGTTTTCCAAGGTCTCATAGCCAGGATTTAAGCTCAGCCTCTTGACATTGTACAGAATGTCATCTCAGTCCCCGGTAGGGTGACAGTTGAGTCAAGGCAATCAGTTCTTGCTGACTTGAGCTCATGTTACAGTTGGGCAGCTCTTACCTTCCTTTACTCAGCTGCTTTATCACCCACAACTCTGCCTGTAAAATATGATAACAATTTAAAGCTGTGGTGCTGTGGAAACACGGTTCATATTTCTTCCCTTTTCTCTCCATTCGGGCAATGTCCCACCAGACCTTCGGTTTAGGAGACTGAGGGCCTGGAGAGCATGGAAGCTGCTCCCATCAGTCAGTAGACAATTAAGAAACTGGACTCTGATTCATTTCCCAAGCTAACATGTAACTGTGCTGCTGATTACCCATTTTCATTGTTTATGGCAAGCCAGGTGGATGAACGGCTCTGCCTGATTTATGAAGTGCTTGCCTTCTATAAATCACAGAGTAGAAACCCAGCACGCTGTTAATCCTAATTGGTTAAGTCCTAAGTAGGGAGTGATTAGAAAGTCTTCAGGAAAGAAGGTACCTCATGCAAATGAGGTAGATACACCGTTCCTTGGGAGGAAATATCCCCTGCTCACAATATGTGGTCCCAGGTTTGTTGTCCATTCCTGCTACCTCTTACTGGTCAACCCCTGCTGATCTTCCATTTGTGAATAAACGAACATAAAAGGGAGAGAAGGCAGATGATGGGAAGCACAAGCACCGTAGAAAAGGAATGCTGTCTGCCTACTTACTTCCTCCTTTATTAATTTCAACCTGGATTAATTGTCTAACTCCAATAAACCATCCATCATAATGAAGGAGAACTAATGCACGGACTCAGAGCGCTGTGAGTTACAGTGAGAAACATTAAAGCTTCTGGTCTCCGCTACCTGAATTCCAATTCCACTCTTCCCTGGGCATGGTTGACATGACATTCTCTGATACTCAGTGACACCCTTCTCAGATGTTTCACTTTGAGCCCAAAAGACCTTAGAGATCTTAAATATGTGAGGTTGTCCACCTCTTCTGACTGGAAATCTTCTGATTGGACTTAGAAATGCAGATTCTTCTTGCAAAGGAGGAAGGAAACCCAAAGATTTTATGTGATTTCCTCCCCACATCTCAAAATGATGGTGGAGGACACAGAAAACTGTGCCTGAAACATGTTTAGAAGAGCAGGGAGTGTTGAGATTACAACTCCTAGAGGATAACTTTCATTCTTCCTTTCCAATCACTTGTAAACGCTCCTTGTAACTTCTCTTTTCATTCCCCTCTCCTTTCTCCCCACCTCCCTCTCTCCTTCCCTTCCCTTCTGTATTCTTCATCCCTTTTTCCTTCCTTCCCTTCCTCTCCTTCCTTTCTTCTCCCATTTCCTGGGCACCCATGGCAGATGCAGCAGCAGCAGCAGGAGCAGCGTCACTTCAGAACTGGATGATGAGCCCCCCTGCATGGAGGAGATTGATTACAGTACAGACAACAGCTCAGACCAGGAAGGAAGCTTCTCTGAGCTGGACCGGCAGATCCAGGAGTGTGCTTTCAACAAGGATGAGGGAGGGGAAGAGGAGGAGGGGTCAGGACAGGGAAGAAAAGCCATCCCATAGCCCCAGGGTTGTAGTGAGTTCCAAGTCCCTAACCATTGGACTAATGGCTAAGTAGTTTCTTCACCATCAGAAACTACAGTGTTGGTGCAAAAATCCAGCCCATGTGAGTTCAGCAACCTATTTCCAGATTTTGTTCTAGTGTCACTATGCATAGAGACCGGCTACTTCATAATTATACCATTTTACAGACATAGTTAGGTGGCCTTTGGAGCCCTTGCATGCTGCCATTATGCTAGAATGGGCTGCTTTCAGGATTACCATGGATCCTCTCAACACTATTTTGCGCTCCTCTCCATTCCTATGCTTGAAGTTGGAGCAGACTGGAAGGAGGAGTTGAGGCTACTTTTTGGCTTCTCAGCCAGATTTCTATGTGGTTGTTTAAGTTGTTCTAAATATGAGTGTTACCTCCTATTGTTGTCTTCCTACTATAGCATCTGAGCTCCTCAGCACAAATGGTGAGCCCTACTGAGACTTCTGAGAGTCCTAGCAGCATATTTAGTTTCTGAATTATTGAACACGAAAGGCTGCACAACCAAAAATTTGCAAGCATCATGCTTGGTCTGTTTTAACAGTATATATTTTACAGATCCAGTATAAACCAGGACCCGTCCTAGGTTCTAAGGGAGAAGGCACAATACTGAACAAGACATGGCCAATGGTTTCTACAAACTTGAAAATCCTATGAATTCAGGCCACTAACCATAATGCTGGGAGGCAGCAAGCCATACTGGAAAAATCATTCACTTCAGGCTCAGACAGATGTGGCTCATATCTTGAATCTGGCAGTCACTTGTTATGAGAACTAAGGCAACTAATTAAATTTCCCCAAACCTCAGTTTTCTTATACATACAATTGAGATGAACATGTCTATATCATATCTTTATCATAAAGTTATCATAAAGATGAAACAAGATAATATATAATAATATAAAGGATTGGCACATGATAGACACTCAACAATGTTGGCTTCTTTTCCTCCATAGTCCAAGTAGAACATTCTGTATGAGTACTTTCACAGTTACACAAAACATTACCTAAAGCCACATGGTTGGAAAGTACTCCCTCTTCCTGGAGGGGATTGGGAAGGAGGTTACATAGGAGCAGAGTGTAGGAGGTTGGAATGTCATAGAATAAGTGAAATGGAGCAAGAGCCTTCAGCATGCAGAGGCAAATAGATTAGAGATTTAGACGACAACATATACAGGGCCCATGCAGAAAGGATGAGAAGGGGCATGGAAGACAGGTACTGAATGACAGATAAGATGGAGAAAATAGGGTAGATCAAACTTACATTTGTCCAGATGCCGTATATATATTTAGTTATGGTTAGGTTTGGCTCTGAGAGATGGAAAATCCAAAATTGCAGTAGCTTTTGTGAAACAGAAGTCTATTTCTCTTTTGTGTGGTTTCCATATAGAGGTAGGCCAGAGCTGGTATCATAAGTACATGGTGTCCAGCACTCAACTTGTATGGGCTTCCAGGTCTGCTGTGTGTTGGTTGGTTTTACTCTTAATCTAAGATGGCTGCTAAAGCGTCAGCCTTTGTATCTACATGTCAGCCGGCAATAAGAAAGATAGAAAAAGAAGAACACAGTCTCTGTATTTCAAAAGCCATGCGTTATGCTTCTCCTTAATCCCACCATCTAGAAAGGGGTCCTATCACCGCAGGTAGCTGCAAGAGAGGTTGGAAAATATAGTTTTTATTTGAGGTGGGCCTAGGGAAAAGGAAATAATACAAACTGGAGATCAAATACTGCCAAATACTTTCCTTGATAAACCAATCACCACCAAGAGATTTGGGAAACAATCATCTCAGAAAAAACTCATAGCAACCCTCTAGACCAGCAGAAAACCACACAGTAAAACTTTGCCATAATGTAGCCCCAAGGCATAGGAGAAAGTCATGTGTGTTATGATTTAAGGAGCTGATGTTATTATTATTAGTAGTAGTAGTAGTATTACCACTACTATTATTATTTATAGTCTCTTCTTTTTCCAACTCCCTTCCAAATTTCTTTGCTATAGTTCAGAAATCCTATATCCATTCTTTGCACTATGACACTCAGATGTCTATAACATATATAAGAGGTTTAAGGGAAATAACAAAGACATTTAATTCAAATCCCAGATAACAGCAGTCCTGAACTTCTCTCATAAACCTTTCCACTCTTAAATAGAAGATAACATAAAGTTTCTGTTCTTTCCTTGTTTTGAGGAGTCAAGAAGATAGTTTTGCTGAAAATGTAACTGTCGGGAAGGACAGAAATAATACTAACTCACCATCACCACTTTGTTCCCCAGCTCAAATTAGTTTATGGGATGAGCTTCTCATTACCTGAAAGGTTTCTGAGAAGAAAGTGATCAGGACATTGTAAATTTCTATGCATGTTCGGGGAAAGCCAGGGACATGGAACATGTGGTTTGTCTATGTAACAAGCATATATTGAACACCTATTATGTGTCCTGTACTTTACTAAGCTCTAAGGATGCAGAGAAAAGGACCCACTCTGCTTGAAGATGTTTGCAGTTCAGTGGGAAAGATGAGCAATACACACTTTAATACAGTGGCACATGCCTTTGTGAAGCTTGTGTTGGTAGACAATGTTGGAATCACCAAATCTAATGGAGCAGCAGTGGTGGGAAACATTACCAAGGTGTGATAATTGAAGTGATTCTTGAAGGATGTACAAGGGTTTTCAGGTAAAAAGGAGAAGAAGGATGCTAAGAAGTAGAAAGAGATTGTGCAAAAGCCCTGTGTTGGGGTTACAGCTTGAAATAAAATGATGAGCGTGACCGGCTTAAAAGATGTGTTTGCATGCGGGTAAGGGAAGGGAGTGACAAGAGATGAAATTAAGATTGGCATCGAGATGATCAAGCAACATTTGACGTGCCTTGATGGAAAAGTTGAATTTTATTCTGAACGTGCTGGCAGAGACAAGGAATGTTCCGCAGAAACATGCCCAGGACTAATGTCTGCAGGCATGCATCAGCACCACTGCATAAGTACTTGCTTATGACTGACGGATTGGACACCCTGCTGTGCTGGTAGTTCAATAGCATGAGTACCCTAGTGTAACATTTCCATATTTGAAGATCAGCAGGTTTGCAGTGAGGTGAGAGATAATGAGTGCAGTTTAGGGCCATGTTGAATACTGGGGGCCCATGATATGTCCATTTGGAAAGGACTCCTAGAAGCCAGAGGTGCATCAGTAGAAGGAGAGTTATATCCAGTGAGATAGGGACTATGTGGAAGTCTTGAACAAATAAGCCCAGGTGCAAATCAGCTGGGAAGGAGTTTGTTTGTAGGGAACAGAGGACCTGGAGAAAGAGCTTACTTCCCTCTCTTGCCACTGGGACTGCAGGCCATTCTGTGTCACACCTCACCAGTGTTCAGTCTGGGGGGAAGAGAGGACTCACTGGGAAGTCAACTCCAGATAGTCATAGGAGTGGCTCTTCCAGCCTGGCCAGACATGTCTCTTGCTGGCCAAACCACTATGGTGAACTGTTCTGAATACCCTCTTCTACCAAACTCAGAGCCAAACAAGATCACTCAACAATTCCTGGGAGTGGGAGGCTCCAATGGGAAGCAGATGTGGTTCAAAGTGTGCAGGGGTGGGATGAGAGTCTAGAGAAGTGATGTTGGGGGCCAGGTCATGGCACAGGTGTCGTGTATCAATCGTTATCCAGTGCTCTGTCTGGCAGGGGTGTGGGTGGGGATGCTTCCGTTTCCTGGGGGAGCCCTGTGCACTTTCTCTGATGGGGGCAAAGGGGGGTAGCTTGCTTGTTATGTCTTTAGGATAGTCCTATTGAGGGTAGAGAAGCACAATGCTTCTTGCGATCCCATAAGGATCATACTTCCATGATCCCCTAAGGGTGGAATCTACTGGCTGCTCTTGACACTTTCCTGTGATAGAAAACTTCTTAGCTTCATAGTTCCTACAGGAAAAAGATCCCTGCACAACCTGGCCCCAGTCTTCTCTACAGACTCAGGTTCCGCTATTATCCAAACTCTTTAGTTTGCCATAGGACACAGCTTTATTTTATCCCATCACACATATACAGTGTGTGTGAACACACACACACACGCACACACACACACACACACACCACTTCTTGAGCCACATAGCTCCATAAAAACCCTCTGAATTTTCAAACATGATCACATTTTTCTTCTGTCTCTGGTGAGCATCTCCCATTATATCATGTGGGGGTTGCAAGGCCCAGTTCAAATATCACCTTTCTTCTGTAAAGCCTTTCCTAATCACCCAAGTCAAGTTATATCATCTCTCTTCTGTGTCCCTGTTGCACTGTTTAGGCATACCTTCTAAAGCACGCTTTCTAGTTATAATTTTTTTTCTAGTTATAATTTTATTTGTGCATTTTTTATAGCCCCACCCCCAGTGGCTGATGGGTGGATTCGTCTAAGACACACGCCCCTGATATTTTCTTGCTATCTCTCCCTGCATCTAGCATACTTCTTGACACATCGAAGGCAGTCAAATGTGTCTTCCCCCCGCCTCAAACCTGAACACCTAAGGTCTCAGTGAAATCCCATATATTTCCCTTAAATCCCTTCATCTTCCATCTCAAATCAGAGTTTGTGTTGCAGGAAAGGTAAGTGATTTCACTAAAAGGGTGCCTACCATGTGCACATCTCAGCCTCCCAAACTGACAGTTGCCACGGAAGACTGTTTCCCATGGGAGGCAAGCTTAAGAAGGAACAGAGTGGCCTTGCCCTGGCCTGTATTGTGCAAATGTTTAGATAGAGCAGAGAAGACATAGGAGCAGAATCTCTAAGAGTCGCCAGTGGCTGCAGTATTCATCCAGGTGCTTTGGACCACAGGCTCGCTTCAGTGGGAGCTGGCACATGGCTCCCTGTGCCTCGTGCCAACTTGGCTGCCTGGCCACTTCTTGCAGTCTTTTCAGTGAGAATCCAAAAACTCCATCCATTGGCTCCAGTTGCTTCCAGGCCTCCAGAAAAAAAGGATTCAGAGCCACAGGGAACATTTGAAAATAACCTGATTCTTGAGTTACAAGCTCACCTTGAGGGATGCCAACACAAGTAAGGTCGCATTACATCCCTAAGAGGAGGAGTTCTCATGCACAGCTTTTATTTCCCAGCCTGGACAGCCGAGCTGTAGAGTCGGTTTCATGTTCCAAGGGGAGCCTCTGCTCTCTGCCAAGAGAAGGAGCGTCCGTGAAATGCCTGCCATAAGTCATCCTTGTTAGGGACTCAGGACAGTGGCCTGCATGGTGGGTCTGAACATTTGCATTGGCATTAGAGTGATAGATTCCCTTAGCCCTGCTGGTCCACCCTGCTCCAGCCCCCTAAAGGCTCCAGTCTTGGAAAGACACAGACACAGTAGCCTAGGTACTCACCATGAGAGCTTTTTTTTGGGGGGCAAAAATAATTCATTAGGTCTTCTCAACAGATGTCCTCTTTTGTTCATGCAGCACTTTGGCTTCATGAGTGCCCAACTGATTCTTGATAAAGAGTGTTGTTTAGAAAAAAGAAAGCGGTAAAAAGACATTTTTGGGTAAAAATGGATTGTATTATGGTCTTTCAGTGTCTAATAAAAAGAGAATGCAATTGCATATGACTTAAAATCATCTACTGCATGCATTTCAACACAATGGAGATGGACTTGAGCTTGAGTTCCCTACCATACAACACACACACACACACACACACACACACACACACACACACACACAATGTAGGTGCAGGGTAAAGCCTATAAACAGAGTGAGTGAGGGAAAATTCATTATCAGACTCATGATTATAAAAGCAGGGCACCGCTAGATAGTGCCTTTGCCCCATACTGCCACACACAAATTGAGATGGAAAACTTTTGGGGAGAAGGTGAGGCCCTCTCATCAGCGTATGGCATAAACTGGTCTTCTAGGATGTATATATTTTGAGCCTGCTTTGGCCACGAAGAAAAATGGATTCAGTTCTCTTTGGAAGAGACTGCATACTTGTGGAAGAATTACCAAATAAACCACATCTGGGTCTCATGACAAGACAGAATAGAGCAATGGATGGGAGCCTGGAACAACTGGTTATTCTGATTAGGAGTTTCTGATGATCTTTTCTAGGGTGAATGGGGTTAAAATGATTTCTTAGCAGCAGACACGTATTACTACCAACCCCCACTCCCCCTCCCAAAATGTTACTAATAATAATGAAGTACAGTTGTTGGGAACAATTCATTTGAGGTATCTGAGTGTGGCTTCATTCTCTGGGGGTCAGGACAAGAAGTGGTGTCGAGGTCAGTTCTGTATACTAGCTGTGGGACAGAGTGAGGGAGCAAACAGACTGACCGCCCTGCTGGCCAGAGTATGGAAGTTGAATGAATGGATGTTCTTTGACCGAATTGTACCAACCGATCCCCACCCATGCCTCAGTCTGAAGAGGAAGTTATTTTAAAAGGTATTAGGGGAGGAAAACCTGTCTTCCTACTTGGCTCATACTCTTTTAAGCTCTCACTACCATTCTGTGTAATAGATGGGCATCATTAGTGCCACTTTCTTTTTTTAAAAAAATATTTATTTATTTATTTTTGAGAGAGAGGAGGCGTGGGCGTGTGAGTGGGGGAGGGGCAGAAAGAGGGAGAGAGAGAATCCGAAGCAGGCTCCGTGGTGTCAGCACAGAGCCCAATAAACGGCTCAATCCCATAAACTGAGATCGTAACTAAGAGCCAGACACTGAACTGACCGAGCCACCCAGGCACCCCAATTGCCAGTTTCAAAGTGAGGTTCAGTTGTACTTAAAGGCACTTTCAGTAGGTGATGAGGCTGATTTCTGCTCCCAGAAAAGTTCTGATTTCCCACTCCATGCTACCGTTAACATGTGCTGAACATGAATACCTTCCATGTACAGTAGTCTATGACCACTGCGTGTGTAGTCGTGTTACGCTTCACGCGCTAACCCTGTGAGGTAAGCCCTCTTGTTTTCCTTCTTCGACAGGTGAGGTTTCTCAGCATAAGAAGGCAAGCACTTGCCTGTGCTTATGCAGCCAGTAAGTAGTAGGACCATGGTTCCGACACAGGCGGTCTGACCCCTGGGTCTGCACTCCAAGGGAAAAGCGGCTCTTCAAACACCCCTGAGGGCTTTCCAGAAGCCACAGAGTAATTCCCTGTCTCCACGAAGGGCGGGATCGTTGTTGTCTTCAATCCTTGATTCAAATACAAATAACTTGTCCTGGACATCCCTGCTTAATGCCCCCCACTCCACCTCAAACGCACAGGTTCAAAGTCACTTCCTCATGATTTCCTCCAAGTTCCTAAACTTGTTCACCTTGACAAGGAGTCTGTGTTTTCTTGCTTTTTTTGTGTGTCCAACGCACAGCCCAATGTCTGACAAAGGCAGGCACTCAAACCTTCACAAAACACATGAATCCACAAGTCTTGGCCAAGCCTGGCTCTTAGCTTTGGTTTGAACCCACCCGTCCCCTGATCTTTCTTCCTGATTCATTTCTCACCTGGGTTTCAGCAGTGGTTTCCCCCACTGCTCTCCTCACCTGTGATTTTGCCTCCTTTACAGCCCTTCTCTGTGCAGCCCGATGATATTTGGAATGAGCATTTGTTTCCACTTCTGCTGCTTACAATCTTTTGGTGGCCTCCCACGGTCCCAAGGATAAAAGGCAAATGGAAGCCAGTACCTGAGCCCTTAGGGATCCAGCCACTGGCTAACTTTCTGGTATCCTGTCTTAACACAAGCCCCTACCAAAGTCATAAAACAACAGTTTCAGTTTCTGGAAAGCACTTTACTCTTTTGCTCTCTCTGCTTCCACCTCTGTGCCTTATTCTATTTATCATATCCTATATGTATCCTCCTCCCTGTAGCCTTCCCTTATCTGACTCTGATGTAGAAACCACGTCATAGCTTTGGCTGCGTGGTATTACCTAAAGGTTTGTCTATCTCTCCCCACCCCTCCGCCCCCCCCCCCCCCCCGCCACTGCCCCACATCAGACTTTGCAGTTTTTGGAGAAGAGAGATGATGGTGTTCACTGCTATATGCTGAGGGCCTAGCACTGTGTCCAAGACAAGAGGGCCTTCGTTAAATATGTGTTGAATGACTGAGATCTTAATTTCCATTCCAAAGGTCTCCTGAGAATGACCTCCTACCCGTTGCCTCAGTAACCTATTAAACATGAATAGTGGAGCTGCAGAAAAGTAGGGCACGCCTGTGTCCAGCACAATCAGAGCAGCAAAGAAGCATCCAGGAAAAATCTCCCTCAGCTCCTAGTCTGTGATGCCTCCTGCTCTGTAATTTTCCAGAAGCAGCTTCCTTTTTTTTTTTTTTTTTTCCTCCAAATGGCCTGTAGAGGTCAGAAAAGGGCCTTGGTTTCAGATCTCCAACTGTCCTCTGCCTGCATTAGCATTCACCCTGGGTGTCTACAATTAGGCAAACGTAGGCTCTGCACATAGGAGCGGAAATGCATTGACTTTAATAAAACAGAGTGTAAAACAACTTTAGATTGACTCCAGCCTTGTTTATTCTTGCACACTTGTAATTCTGGTTCGGTATATTCCCAGTGAAAGAGACCATTGTCCTGGGAACTGAAGCTTTTCCTTTCTCCATGGCTCCTGCAGCCAGTCCATGGAGGCGAGCAGCACCAGCTCCCTGCTCCTGACTCATAGCAAAAATGTTTTTGTTTCTTAAAGAAAAACAATGACAAATTGAAGTGTGGGTACAATGAGAGGAGCTCCCACTGTCCTTCTAGACTTTTGGGGTTTTTCCGTGAATGTAAGTGCATTCAGAGTCCACAAAAGAAAAAAAAATTAAATAATAAATATGGAACAGACACTCTGGTGGGCACCCATGTTGAAATTTAGGAATTGATGACTTTATTCCAGAAATTACTTTCTAGCGTATAGGAAAGAGCACTGAACTGGAATTTAAGAGCCCAGGATTTGAGGTCCAGCTCTGCAACTTTAATGTGGGATTTGAGGGGAGGGAGAGGATCCTTAATTTCTCTGGGTCTCAGTTTCTCCATCTGAGAGCTGGACCGGCTGAAATCTGAGGTCACCTCTATCTCTCATACTCACTGTGGCTGTGCTGGCCAGTCCATGGAGAAGTCCACCAGGCCTTGGGCTGGCCGCGCGCGCATAGAGGCCCGCTCAAGGTGTCTCACACTAGCGCTCTGTCCGCCCGGGGCCCGAGGCCAGGCCCCGCACAATGATCTTTTCAGAGCCCAGGCCGATGCCGTTGAGACGCTGCCAATGCCCGGCAGAATAAAAGCTTCCGAAATCAGGGCTAAAAATAAATAATGAGACAAAGGGACAACATAAACAGGAAGACCTAAAAGTGGGGGAGGGGGATCGAATTGAGTCAGCAACGTTGGGGTGGGGGGAGCGGTGGGGAGGAATATGAATTTGCTCTCGTCTGTGATCATTGCCCTGCTGGGTGGTTGTGGGGTCACACGTGCTCAGGGAAGTGGCACTGTCATACCACCCTGGGGAGAGGATGCCTGCTCAGCAGAGGTGTGGCTTGTTCCAAGGCTCATTTCCTCCCTGCAGCGCAGCAAACCCGCCCATTCTACTCCCACTTTGCTGGCTGCTTGAAAAGTGTTCTTTAAGAGTCCTGTCCTGTTGCCTGCCCTCTGCTTCGGCACTGGGCCAGCTTCCTCTTTACATACACTCAGGGTTTCACTGCAAATGACTCTGGGGTCTGGTGACTTGGACAGGAAAAGGGTTAGTCAAGGAAAGGGAGCTAATAGATATTAAGTGTGTTTCACATGCTGACCCCGGGGCTCAGTGCTTGATGCGATGGTCCAGGGACAGAGGAGCAGCTGTGGGGCAAGTCCCACGTGAGCTCCTCCCCTGCACAATTGTCTACTGTTCTTAGCTTTTCCTCCACCTTGCCAACGGTGGAGAGCCAGAGCAGGTAGGAGCATTGTTTAGAGGGTCAGCTCAGTGAATTCGGGGATATGCAGTGTGGGAGTCTTTGGGGTGAACGTTAGGGAGCCACTGACTGTCATTAGATGGTGACAGAGATTGGGGCACACTGACCAAAAAGGAGAGGGAATAAGTGGGAGGGAGGGGGCGTCCCAGGGAAGCCAGAGGCCTAAACCCAAGGAGAATTCAGACCCCGTGAGAAATCCTGACTCCTAAAATTCAAAGTGAAGTCTAATGTTTAAGTTTTTTCCTGTTCTGTGAGGTCTTGTTTTAAGCCATCCCCTATGCCCTCAAACCTTCAGTAAAAGTCGACTTCCCCAGAGAGCTGGGTTCTAGTGACACTTTAAGTTAATGGAAGAAGAACTTATTCATTTCAGATAAAAAAAGACTATCGGTAGAGGCTGTCAGAAAATTCAGCGGAAGCTGGAAATCTGAAAATTCATTTTCTAGGGCATTTACAGTTTCTGCACTAGAGCTTGGAAGCCGTTTTACTTGGAAATGAAAATGATGAAAATAATAGTGATAGTAATAGTTACCAAGTTACCAGGAGCACCTACCTTATCCCAATTCTTGGGCTGAAAGTTTATTATTCACAAAATCCCTGTAAGGTAAGTGACTATCATTATCCCCTATTTTGTAGAGATATTCAATAGTGTGTGCAAAGTAGCTAAGAGAGAAGCCAAGTTAGGCTCTGAGCTGAGTGTGGGTGTTCTTCTGATTTTCTCCCTGGTATCATACACCCTAAAAGAAAATCATCCTTGGTGGATCATTTGGTGGCAGCTCCTTCCATTCTTCCCTTCCCTTCCCTTCCCTTCCCTTCCCTTCCCTTCCCTTCCCTTCCCTTCCTTCCTTCCCTCCTTTCCTTCCTCCCTTCCTTCCTTCCTTCCTTCCTTCCTTCCTTCCTTCCTTCTTTCTTCCTCCCTCTCTCCCTTCCTCCCCTTCTTTTCTTTTCTTTTCTTTTCTTTTCTTTTCTTTTCTTTTCTTTTCTTTTCTTTTCCGTTTCTTGAGGCAAACTTGCTTTCATGCTTCCTTCCTCATATTTAATTAACTAGAGATGAATCTGTAATTTTCAGCATCTTATTTTCAAACTTCGTCAAGACCTATTCTTTCCCTATCTACCTATTAATCTTAATTTTTTTCAGCCTCCTTTCCATATTTCTAGATGAAAATGCTGCGTGACCTTTTGAAGGAATCTCCCAATGGGTTGATGGTGGTGGATGGTAATGTGCATGTGAAATTCGTGAAGCACTCTCTAAGTCTCCCGAAGCAAATATTGAGAGCAACATTTTTAAAGATAAATAACATGAATCTCAAAGAGCTTAAATGAATATCCTAGAGGAATATGGCCCCATCCCAGCAAAATCAGGTTTGGGTTGGGATAAGGAAGGATCTTCCTTATGATATTTGCTGTGGGTCCGGAAATAACTTTTCAGATTCCCATCTATCATGTCTGTGAGTGTTCTGGACAATATGAGATGTTCCCAGTGGCCCTATTCTTATTAGATTTCTATTTTGCAGCCACCCTTGAGTAAGGGTGCTTAGGATTCACTTCAAAATTATATACAGAAATCTATGAGCATCCTACAACCATTACCTAGTTTCAAGTGATACTCAATTTATTAGCCGGGGATCTCAGATCTCCAAATCCTAAACTATCACTACCTCTCAGCTTCACTTAATTTCTATTTACTAATGCTCAAGGGAGCCAGCCAGGTCAGCAAAGCCACTCAGCAAGGAGCAAGAGAAGAAACTTGCCCTCTTCTGTTGGAATTGGATTTCCATATCATTTGGCATAAGTCATTGATATTCCACAAGACAGTTTACCTGAGTCATGCTCCTCTTCTTCTGAATGTTTTTGTTCTTGTTGGTTGGCTAGTTGTTTTCTGCTTTTTTTTCTCATATGAAGTGGCTATATGATGACAAGATGAGAGACATTTGACATTTTTAAAGGGCAAGGAAAATCAGGACCCAGAAAGGTAGAAGGAAGTCACATCTCGGGATCATCAATGATTAGCTGCTCACCCCCTGCTGCCATGTGCATACACACAACTTCTTAAGGAAAAACTCTTATATGGATCAAGAGCACAATGGAGCATTCAAGAACACTGATTTGGAGACCACTGTAGACAATAAATTTTTTGTGGTAAGAGGAAGAAGATTGTAAATAGAAATAACCGAGGCAACCTCTCTCATAGTGCCTTGTAATTGGTGTCACAAGACTTTCTGCAAGATAATATGGCAAAGATGGTGTAACAGGGGTCTCCACGTTCGCTGGTGGAAGTAACAGTAGGATCAGAGTGGGACCAGAGAGAAGAAGCAAATTAGGGCCCCCTCGCCCATTCCACTGTGGGCCTCAGGGGAAAAGAGCAATCCCATGGATTATGTCAGTAACTGTGTCTTACTTTTATATTGTTGAAAAACAATTACCACAAATGTAGCGATGTAAATCAACATCCATTTATTTCTTGACAGCTCTGCAGTCAGAAATATGGGAGAACTGCATTGGGTTCTCTGCTCAAGGTGCCTCAAAGCTGAAACCCTAGTGTCAGCCAGCCTGGCATCTTATCTGGAGGGTCAAGAATAGAGTCTGCTTCTAAGCTTGGTCAAGAGATTGGCTGAATTAAGTTCCTGTGAGTGTAGGACTAAGATTCCTGTTTCCATGCTAGTTGTTAGATGTTGTTTGTTCTCAGCCCTCATTCCTTAGCAGGTGGACTCCAAAAGCCAGCACTAGTATGTTGGACCTCCTTCACTCTCTGATTTCTTTTGCTGCTACCAGCTGGAGGTAACTCTCTGCTTTTAAAACTCTCTTGTGATTAAGTTAGGCTCACCCTGATAATCTCCCTCTTGTTTTATGATACAACATAATCACAATAGTGAAATCTCACCATATTCACAGGTTCCACCTATGATTAACAGGGGATGGGAATTATGCAAGGGCAAGAGTCACTGCTTACCACAAATAGTATTGCTAACAAATACAACATTTCCCATGTGCCAGTAATGGTATAAGTGTTTTACATACCTTAACTCTCAGAATTTCACAGCAACCTTATGAGGTAGGTACGATTATTGTCTCCACTTTACAACAGAAGAAGCTGAGGCACAGAGTATTGGTATAGAATACACAACTACTATGTGGTTGAGCTGAGATTTGAACCCAGACAATATGGCTCCAGGTTTGTGCCAGATTTCTTAACCACAGCTCCATGGATCTATCTAAACAATGTAATCTCTTAGATGAAGTCTTTTCCTTCTTTTATCCAAGCTTGAGTGTGAGCATGAGACCTAAAGCTATTTAGTGGGACAGGACAGGACACCAGTGGAAAGTGGCATAGCATTCATAGTTCAAATGGCCCATGGCCTGAGCTTTAATCAAGGCTTACATGTGACAGGCCTACTTCTCCTGGGCTTCCCATGTTGTGGTCCAAGTCTTAGCTAATTGTAGAGTCTGTGTTTTCCTATAGTTCTCCCTCCTGTACATCCTTCCAGAGCAGTGGATCTAGCAATGAGTGCTGAGGTAGTCAAGGTACAGTGAGGTCTTCATGAAACAGACTTACTACTCTCATACCCCTGGGGCTCTTCTTCCCACCCAAATTGTAGGTCCGAAGGTCTATGTGGAAAATCTACTTAATAAACTAAACTGGCGCTTACTCTATGTGGGCTTACTTGAAAGTGTCTGTGCTCAGTTACAAAGGAGGAACTGAGGTAATGTTGTAATTTTTCAATCTTCTACCAACTACGTGACATTATTTTGTCCTAGACATGATATAAATAAAAATCCTTCAAGATTCAACTAATTTAGAATCAGAGACTAGTAGGGGTGCTTGGGTGGCTCAGTCGGTTAAGTGTCTGATTTCAGCTCAGATGGTGATCTCATGGTTCATAAGTTCAAGCCCTGCATCGAGCTCTGCACTGCAGAGTCTGCTTGGGATTCTCTTTCTCTCCCTCTTTCTCTGCCCCTCCTTGCCCTCAAAATAAATAAGCTTTTAAGAAAAGAATCAGAAATTAGCAAAGGAAAAGGTTAATAAACATTAAACAAAGTTTATTTTTATAAAAGTATTTTATTTTGCAATGCCTTCATATAAGTAATAATATTGCCATTGGAAACTCACCAATAATATCACAGTGAAAGAATACAGTTCACATAACAAAAGACATAACAAGAAAGCAAAACCAAGAAATGTTTAAAAAGTAGAAAACCAAACAAAAGGCAGAAGACTGACCACATTGAATAATTGTGGTTATAAATGTAAATGCTATAAATTATATCACTAAGTGACATAGAATATCTGCTATGATCAAAAGGGAATCTAAAACTATTTTTCATTCATTATACCCAAACATTCCATTAAAAGATTCTTAATGAAAAAAATGCAGAGAGGAAAGGAGGTAATGGATAAAGATGTCCAGGGAGCCATTACCAAGGAAAAGAGTTGCAAATGGAAAACCTGAAGTCCAAAATGGACTGTGGAGACACAGGGACTGGTTTAGGGAATTGGAGGACACATTAATCAGTTCATTACCAGAACTGTAAGAGAAGGCCTTGATCATGAGGAGGAGTCATTTTTAGTCCTACTGGGGAAACTTGACCAAAGCACATGAAAGAAAGCAAGACAGAAAGTGCAGAAGGACTCCCACCCAGAGCTCCACTGCTGGAAGGGAGCCATGGACCTATGGTCAGAGGATGGTGGCCATAGTGATGCCATCACAAAGCTGAATGTCAGTAGTGAGGTGGTGTGCCCATCTCCTATTCTTTCTTCTGCCTCCCTTATACACCAGGTGACTTGGAAAACACAATAAGTAGGTTGAAGGGGTAACTATATCTGTTGGGCTGAATGGGTTTTAACAGGTTAAGGAGAACTGGAAAGACAGTCTCCTTCAGTTGTCTGCATGACACTCATGGGCCTCTACAAGGTAGCCTGCCCCTGTCTGCCTTTCTAGGTTATCTTCAAATTTACATGACCCCAAAGCCAGCTTCTCAGCCACAGTACCTATCCACCATCTCCTAAGTCTGCCCTCACAGTATCACCTGCTCAACTTTTCTCACTCTTCTTTCCTCCCTCCAAGACCCAGCTCAGATCTGAATCTCCCATAACTCCTGCTTTCTCTGTTCCTCCATCTATGACCTCTTCTGGCATTTATTATGCAATTAACTATATACTTTCATGCCCTACTAATTGGCCATTGATCTCTTTTACTGTGGTTTGATGTTTCACATGTGTCTGTCATTTCTTAGCAAGTACAGTATTTGCTCCCTGAGAACAGGGCCATGTCTTTTTATAATACCGTTCATTATTTAGCACCTTCTAATTTCAGTTTGCTTACCTGAATTATTGTCTCACAAAATGCTCCCTGTAAAACTTCAGGTTAAGTATTATTTCCCTCATTGTACAGACTGAGTCAGTGAGGCTCAGAGATATTCAAAAGCCTACCCTAACGAAGTCCTGTAGCTTATAAGGGGCATAACCAAGATTTGAAACAATGTGAGTGAAACTAAAATCCTCTACTTTCCCCCACTAAATCATGATGTCATCACAGCTTTCTGGAGCCATCAGTCTAGATGATGTGCCAAAATAAAATACGCATAGCATATACACATACAAAAGAGGATATCCATTAGTATATTTCAATTTTTATATTTCATTTGCACACAGTTTCTACAATCAATTTTTATATTTCATTTGCACACAGTTTCTACAATTGTAGCAGGGAAATAGAATCCCCAAATTAAATCTAATGCCTAGACAAAATTGGTATTCATACATGCATACACACATGTAAACACACGTGCATGGATGCATGCACACATACACAGATAAATAAGCTGGTAAGTGCTGCATATAGGTCTGCCTGAAAGGTCATTGCTACCCTAATGGCACAATGAATGGTCTTCATTGGCAAGGACGTGGAGACCTTATAATCCCATTTGGAGTAGAAAGGTGTATAATCCCAGCAGGATGCTTAAAGGCTCAATTTTACTGCAAGGGTACCCAGAGCTTATAGATTTGGTGTTTGTCCAGCACATTACGTTGAAGTAGAGCCCTGTTAGTTGTGGTATTAGCTTTGAAGGGGCTCCTCTATTGAAAATCTCTGTGTCAATCTACTAATTGTGAGCCCAGAAAACATAATGAATCAGGAGGGTGCTCAGCAGTCCTGTAATTTTTACACGTTCTGGGTTTGCTTCCTTTAGGAAAGAGAGGTATAACAGCTCTGAAACCTAGTAGCTTTAGCTAAGAAGCCTGAGAGGTAGAGAGAGAACTATGGAGGGAAAGAAACCACACCCAGATGGTTCATAGGTTTTCCAGAGAACTTGACTTCACCTTCTGACACTAGGTATTCTCCATGTGCATAATGTGAATCATAACATTTCCTTACGTTGTGGCTCTTACACTTCAGCTGCATAAAAATCACACAGATGGCTTCTTAAAAGTCAGGGTCCTGAACCACAATCCTGATGATTCTGATTCAGCAGGTTTATGGTGTGGGTCAATAATCTGCATTTCTCACAAGTTCCCAGGTGATGTTGATGCTGCTGGTTTAGGGAGCATATTGTGAGAACCACTGTCCTAACAGACATGGTATGTAATCATAGGACACAGGAACATCAGGTCCCTTCATGAAAATGTGTGAAAATACTAATAGTTAGGAAACTTTTCCTAACATCAATCCTAAATATTTTCTTCTACTCCAGTTTCAGTGTTCTCTCTTGTATTGTGGTGCACGTAAAGAACTTTGTATTTTCACAGACAGATGCTTATGGCATCTGGTGCCTTCTTCCTATGTAGGCTAAGTTGCTGTCCACCAAAGAGGTGCTGACAGGCTCCATATCATTGATGGAATCTTTGCTTTACTTTGCTTTTTTAAATGTTTATTTGAGAGAGAGAGAGAAAGTGGAAGAGGGGCAGAGAGCGAGGGAGGAGAGAATTCCAAGCAGGTTTCATTCTGTCAGTCCAGAACCTGATGTGAGGCTGGATCTCACAAACTATGAGATCATGACCAGAGCTGAAATCAGGAGTCAGATGCTTAACTGACTGAGCCACCTGGGCACCCCCCCCCCCTTTTTTTTTTCTTTCTTGAGAGGAGAGTCAACTGTCATTGGACCAGGGAGAATAGAGGAACTCTAAACTAAAGTAAAGGAAAACATTAATCCCTGGTTCTTCTACCCTCTTTTCTTTCCATTTTCCTTCTCTACTTTCTCTCCACTGTCACTTTCTTCTCAGGTTTCTTTCCCATTACCTTATCCTCTTTCACTTTCTTCTCTTTAGAAGGTTTGTGTCTCTTTCCCCATCTTCTCATTTTTTTCCTGACCAAGTTACTGTAGACATGAGTTCACCATGGTCTGCCTTGCCAACATCCATCTCTATGACTTTATTTCCTCTTACTTTGTCCTCCATATACAAAGTTTTCTGAACCAAATGAC